CCCCAAAACCCCAAAACCCCAAAACCCCAAAACCCCATACCATACATTTTTAGTTGAAATAAACACTGAGATATATTTTTGACTATTATTCCTACTAATATGGCATATATTCTCAATGTTTGCTACTGAAGGTTGAACAGAACCTCATATTTAGTGACTACAACTTTATCCCTAAGTTCAGGGTAATTAACCTCCCGATCAATCTCTTCTGCAGTGCAAGGCGTCATGTTAAAGAATTTGATAAACTTCACTATATTACAAGTGGGGATTTGAGCTAAAGATAAGTTAAAATAAGGGAAATACATTCCAATGGATGAAGTCTTGAATTCATGATGCCATTCATGATGTTCTTGATTACTCTGAGAGCTGGCTTCTCTTCTGATGACTGGGAAGGGTGACAGTTACTTATTTGTATTTCTAACCCCTAAAAATTGACAAATTTAAAAGGTAAAATTTGAAAAATAGTTATTGCACGTTTGTGATACTTACTGACGATGACATGTTGTAAGTTTTGAAAGTTCTGCGTCCCTTTTGATTCGCAATTTCACAGAAATAAAAGAAGATAAATTTGAGATGCCTTCCTGACATAATGATTTTATCAACATGAGTTGGGCCAAGTCTAAAATGTAACAAAGCAAGTCTTTGAGTAACATTGCTTGCATTTTGACATATATTTTTAATTCCTGCTCTAAGAATGAATTTATTGATTAAAGGTGAACTATGTATTTCCCACTTATTAATCTTTTTTGGAAACATAGACTCCTATTTCACATTTAAAAATACCATACATACCTCAAATAACCTCTTCAAAAACCTAAAATTCATCTTATCATTCGTAAGAGCGGTCTGAATATTGCCCAATCCTCTAATATCCTGTCTTAACTTAACATACTCAAACTTATATTGCTGGTATCACAATTTCTTCGGTATAAACTCCAGTATATGATCCCCTCTATACCTTGCCCATCCCTTATACCCCAATCTTTCCTTCATATTCCCAAATCATTGGCGTCCATATTTATTTTCTTCCTTAAAAACAACTTTCTCTATCATTTTCAAAATTTATTAAAAAATTTGGGGTTTTGGGGTTTTGGGGTTTTGGGGTTTTGGGG